GAGTTACAGCTGATTGGCTGTTGCAAACCTGTCAATTTTTTCCTGAAGTAATGATGTGTTTCTAAATGAGTTTATTCATAATCGTTGGAATGACCGTTCCTGACGACAAAGATATTTAGCTAAATTATATAAAGAAACATACATTCATTATTTCAAACATAAGCATGTAGGAAGTTTAACAGAAGTATTATACATGAATTAACTGATAAACTCTGGTAGCAAATTCATGCTTTCGGAGGATGCACTTAATATATATACATATTTTTACCTACAATAAGGCATATAAAGATAAATTATATATCAGTAATACTACATTATGCAAAAACAACATTTTTAAAGATCAGAATCACATTGAAATATTACACGACTGTTAGCAGAGATGGGAAAGATATGAAGTTGTTCGCTAGGGGGCAGTGAAATTTTGCTCAAAGCTGCACTCTTCAGGCATTGTTCCTTATACATATCTAAGACTCCATGCCAAATTTGAAGCTGATATGTCGAGGTTTAGTCTGCCGCATTTTCTACTGAAATTTTTAAATTTACCTACAGTACTAGCCAAACAGCCGCTGTGGCGGTGCAATGTTCTGTTCAGTGTTATAAAAGTTCCCAAACGTGAGGTGCAGTTTCTCCTTGACCAGCGAGGTGATAGGAAGATGAAGATTGCAGGGGTTGACATGAAAGTGACGAAGATGTGGGACAGAGTGACGGCAAGAGAGAAGCATGATGCGGACAGAGTTAGGAGACAGCTTGAGCAAAAACATAGATATCTGGTAGCTGGAGATATTCCTTATGTTGAGGTTAATTCAGATGATTCAAGAGATATTCCTCTCGTCAATACTGATGCTGATTTTGTCCCTGATCCAAGGGCTCTGACAGACACCAGTTCTCAGAACCGGACAAGACTCCCTACACTGGCTGCCGCTTGTGACCGATACTTGATTAGTGATTATGCTGGAGCTGCCATTGCTACTGCCACCTTAACTGACTATGGCATTATCACAAAGGATGACAAGAGTCAGGTTATTGGACCACATAAGCTGCGGGATGCGAGACAAAAATACCGATTTAAGAGGCAAGAAATTGAGATGGCTAGTTTAGATAATTTGACGTCACTCTATTTTGATGGTAAGAAGACCGCCACTCGTGTGATGATAAAGAATGAGAAGACCGAGAAATGGAGTTCGAGGATGATGGTGAAAGATCATTATGTCATCATGGTTGAGCCTGGCAATGAATATCTCACACATGTGACTCCCAAGACTGGACACGGAAAGCAGATTGCCAAAACTATTCACGAGTTTCTGGTGGAGAAAAATCTAACCCAGCAGCCCATTGTGTGTGTTGGTTGTGATGGAACCAATGTAAATGTAGGATCAGAAAATGGAGTCATTCATCATCTTGAAATGTTACTTGGTCACCCGCTCCATTATTTCATATGTCAGCTTCACAGAAATGAGCTGCCTTTCCGCGCAGTTTTTTATCACTATGATGGTAAACCAAGTGGTCCTGAGCATTGGCGTGGTCCCATTGGAAAGCAGATCAAGGAGTCTTTGTCTGAGCTTCCAGTTGTCGCCTTCCAGCCAGTCAGTTTCCCTGATTTCCCTGTGTTTAATGATGAAGTGAAGAAAGATCTGTCCTGGGATCAGAAATACCTGTATAGGATTTGTAAAGGAGTTATCACAGGTGTTGTTGAAGATGACTTGGCTGCTATTGAGCCAGGTCCTCCCTGTGTGTCAAGGTGGAACACCTTATGGAGTAGAATCCTCAGGCTGTATGTAGCAACATCAAGACCCAGCCATGAGTTGAAAAGAATTGTCATTACAATAATAAAGTTCAGTGCTCCAATGTGGTTTTACATCAAGATACACCCTTACGTAACACACGGCTCAAGGAACGTATTCCAGTCCCTGCTATATATGAAACACCTGAATAGTGAGGAGGAGACGATAGTGAAGAAGGCTGTCCAGAGAAATGCATACTTCGCCCACACAGATCAACTTCTTCTTGGTATGTGTGCAGATGAGGACATGACTGTTAGAGAAAAAGCTGTCTCAATGATAAGAAAAATTAGAGAGGAGAATCAGCAAAAGGAAGAATGCACTGGCAGATCTGAAGAGGAGGAGGAAGATTCTGATGCTGCTGTTGACGAGAATTTGTTAAACTATACTGATGAGGAGGGTAAAGATGGAGATGGGAATGAGGATGTGCCTCCTGTAGTCAACATGAGAAAGGTGGTGACTCCGAAACTAAAGTGGCAAGCAAAAAACTATCATTCCATGATTAACTGGAGGAATGAACTCAAGACTGAGCCTCCTTACATTGCTTCTCTGTCAAATCTACAGGTTAATGACATTCTTGAGACACCATTAGTGGTGCCCAAGTGGCCAAACAGCACTCAGGCGGTCGAGAGAGGCATAAAAGTGATGACTGAAGCTTGCACTGAAGTGACGGGATACGAATCGAGAGATGGATATATTAGGCAAAGATTATTGTCTAGGAAAATGATGCCAAGGTTCCGCACAAAAAAGAATTTCAATATGAACTTGTAATGATTTTCTATACGGTGTACCTGTAAAATAACATGTGAATTAAATCGATGTCACCCATGTAAAATTTATCATTATCCTGGAAAACATTAAATGACACCTAATTTTTGGTATACACTAAAAGTTGACAAAAAGTCGTTCGCGATGCGGCAGGGTAAGTATGCATGAAATGGCATGAAATTTTGCACAGGTGTTTGTTACAGCCATACAAACGATGCCTGAAAAGTGCAGCCTGCAACTCAAATAAAAGTGTTTTTTCCCTGCCCCCTATTGTTCGCAGTCATATTTCCTGCCTCTGTTGATGGTCGTGTAATATTTCAATGTGATTCTGATCTTTAAAAATGTTGTTTTTGCATAATGTAGTATTACTGATATATAATTTATCTTTATATGCCTCATTGTAGGTAAAAATAAGTATATACAGTTGTACCCCACTTAACGCGGTCAATTGAACCCAGAGGGTCCCGCGTTAAGTGAAATCGTTAACTGAAATCCGCGTTAAGTGAACAACAGAACATATGGGATTAATTCCAATAGAAACCGGCCCGACCCCCAAACTCCACTTTTTGAAGGCACATACCTATGTTGTAGTAAAAATAACATCTTAATTTTATGATGGTACATGCACACAATTAATACTTAAGAGAAATAGAGAAATACAGTCGCCAAGTTAATGTCCATTCAAATAATGGACTCAACTCCCTCCCCCTCTCACACTACACAGCCGGCTAACAGATGGTCGGTCGGTCCCTCCCTCCCCCCCCCACCCCCCACCAACCGTCCCAAGGAGATGTGTGGGATAACCTCAAACTAAAGTTAGGAAAATATAATTGACATTGCTGGATTCCTTGTAAGACCAGGAATATTTTGAATATAAATGTCATATATTTTGGACAAAAGATAACATAGTTACCTAGAGAAAAATTTTTATCTAAAAATTGTAAGTTTAAAGCAAAATATATGATGTTTATATTCAAAATGATCACCAAATTATAAGAATTCCAGCAATGTAAATTATATTCTGACCGGGTAATTTGTATGAATTTTATGAGCTAAAACAAATATCTTCAGTTAATAAAAAAAAAATAATCTTCACGACACTATCTGTCAATCAAAGTACCCCACCTTGCCTCCCCCCCTCTTCCAACCGCGCGGTCAGTCCCAACCCTCCCCCCACCCCCCACCAATCCTCCCTTCCAGAGTTTTTAACATTTAGTATTAAATAATACCTCAGATTAAAGTTAGGATAATATAATTGACATTGCTGGATTCCTTGTAAGACCAGGAATATTTTGAATATAAATGTCATATATTTTGGACAAAAGATACCATAGTTACCTAGAGAAAATTTTTTATCTAAAAATTGTAAGTTTAAAGCAAAATATATGATGTTTATATTCAAAATGATCACCAAATTATAAGAATTCCAGCAATGTAAATTATATTCTGACCGGGTAATTTGTATGAATTTTATGAGCTAAAACAAATATCTTCAGTTAATAAAAAAAAATAATAATTCTTCACACGGTAACAGATGGTCGGTTGGTCCCTCCCTCCCCCCCACCCCCCACCAACCGTCCCAAGGAGATGTGTGGGATAACCACTAAATTTTAATAAATAATACCTCAAACTAAAGTTAGGATAATATAATTGACATTGCTGGATTCCTTGTAAGACCAGGAATATTTTGAATATAAATGTCATATATTTTGGACAAAAGATACCATAGTTACCTAGAGAAAAATTTTTATCTAAAAATTGTAAGTTTAAAGCAAAATATATGATGTTTATATTCAAAATGATCACCAAATTATAAGAATTCCAGCAATGTAAATTATATTCTGGCCTGGTAATTTGTATGAATTTTATGAGCTAAAACAGGCAGTCAGGCAGGGTGGCGGGTGGGGCAAATCTAAAAATAGCGTCTCGGACATTCACCGCGTATATGTGGAAAAAACCCGCGTTAAGTGAAAGTTCAGCTTTGGCAAGGCACCGCGTATATGCGAAAACGCGTTAAGTGAAAGCGCGTTAAGCGGGGTAAAACTTTATATTAAATGCATCCTCCGAAAGCATGAATTTGCTACCAGAGTTTAACAGTTAATTCATGTATAACACTTCTGTTAAACTTCCTAAATGCTTATATTTGAAATAATGAAAGATGTTTCTTTATATAATTTAGCTAAATATCTTTCTTGTCAGGAACGGTCATCCCAACGATTATAAACAAACTCATTTAGAAACACATCATTACTTCAGGAAAAAATCGGACAGGTTTGCAACAGCCAATCAGCTGTAACTCTTGAGGAGGGGGCGGGGCATCTTTTCTCAGCTGAGAAAAAATGCACTATAATGTACTTTATACTACAGTAAGTGACATGATAATAAGCTTCAATCATAAAATTACATTCCAAAGATAAACAGATGGAACTCTAAAAGACTCATAAAGGTACTTACTGGCACAGCTCCACTGTCTGACAGCTATAGAAGAAACATATATTGTAGTGAAAAATAGTTTATTAAATTTTACTTCATTTGTAAATACAGTATATGATAGTATTTCATGGAAGGAAGAAACAATATTTTAATTCACTACCTGTACATGTTTACCACATGACAATCACAGTCATCCTAATCATGTATGTATACAGCCTTACCAATGATCACAGTCATCCTAGGCATGTATGTATACAGCCTTCCCAGTGATCACAGTCATCCTAGTCATGTATGTATACAGCCTTACCAGTGATCACAGTCATCCTAGTCATGTATGTATACAGCCTTACCAGTAATCACAGTCATCCTAGTCATGTATGTATACAGCCTTACCAGTGATCACAGTCATCCTAGTCATGTATGTATACAGCCTTACCAATGATCACAGTCATCCTAGGCATGTATGTATACAGCCTTCCCAGTGAACACAGTCATCCTAGGCATGTATGTATACAGCCTTACCAGTGATCACAGTCATCCTAGGCATGTATGTATACAGCCTTACCAGTGATCACAGTCATCCTAGGCATGTATGTATACAGCCTTACCAATGATCACAGTCATCCTAGGCATGTATGTATACAGCCTTACCAGTGAACACAGTCATCCTAGTCATGTATGTATACAGCCTTACCAGTGATTACAGTCATGCTAGGCATGTATGTATACAGCCTTACCAGTGATCACAGTCATCCTAGTCATGTATGTATACAGCCTTACCAGTGATCACAGTCATCCTAGGCATGTATGTATACAGCCTTACCAGTGATCACAGTCATCCTAGTCATGTATGTATACAGCCTTACCAGTGATCACAGTCATCCTAGGCATGTATGTATACAGCCTTACCAGTGATCACAGTCATCCTAGTCATGTATGTATACAGCCTTACCAATGATCACAGTCATCCTAGGCATGTATGTATACAGCCTTACCATTGAACACAGTCATCCTAGTCATGCATGCATACAGCCTTACCAGTGATCACAGTCATCCTAGTCATGTATGTATACAGCCTTACCAATGATCACAGTCATCCTAGTCATGTATGTATACAGCCTTCCATTGAACACAGTCATCCTGCATGGCATGATCACAGTCATCCCAGGCATGTATGTCAGCCTTACCAGTGATCACAGTCATCCTAGTCATGTATGTATACAGCCTTACCAGTGATCACAGTCATCCTAGTCATGTATGTATACAGCCTTACCAATGATCACAGTCATCCTAGTCATGTATGTATACAGCCTTACCAGTGATCACAGTCATCCTAGGCATGTATGTATACAGCCTTACCAATGATCACAGTCATCCTAGTCATGTATGTATACAGCCTTACCATTGATCACAGTCATCCTAGTCATGCATGCATACAGCCTTACCAGTGATCACAGTCATCCTAGTCATGCATGCATACAGCCTTACCAGTGATCACAGTCATCCTAGGCATGTACTGTATCAGCCTTACCAGTAATCACAGTCATCCTAGTCATGCATGCATACAGCCTTACCAGTGATCACAGTCATCCTAGGCATGTACTGTACAGCCTTACCAGTAATCACAGTCATCCTAGTCATGTATGTATACAGCCTTACCAGTGATCACAGTCATCCTAGTCATGCATGCATACAGCCTTACCAGTGATCACAGTCATCCTAGTCATGTATGTATACAGCCTTACCAGTGATCACAGTCATCCTAGTCATGCACTGCATACAGCCTTACCAGTGATCACAGTCATCCTAGTCATGCATGCATACAGCCTTACCAGTGATCACAGTCATCCTAGGCATGTACTGTACAGCCTTACCAGTAATCACAGTCATCCTAGTCATGCATGCATATAGCCTACCAGTGATCACAGTCATCCTAGGCATATACTGCACAGCCTGGCTAGTGATCAAGGTCATTCTAGCTCATGTATGCATACAGCCTTACCAGTGATCACAGTCATCCTAGTCATGCATGCATACAGCCTTAACAGTGATCACAGTCATCCTAGTCATGTATGTATACAGCCTTACCAGTGATCACAGTCCTAGTCATGTATGCATACAGCCTTACCACAGTGATCACAGTCATCCTAGGCATGTACTGTACAGCCTTTACCAGTGATCACAGTCATCCTAGTCATGTATGTATACAGCTCCACTAGTGATCACAGTCATCCAGGGCATGTACTGTACAGCTCACTAGTGATCACAGTCATCCTAGTCATGTATGCATACAGCCCACTAGTGATCACAGTTATCCTAGTCATGCATGCATACAGCCTACCAGTGATCATACAGTCATCCTAGGCATGTATACACAGCCCTACCAGTGATCACAGTCATCCTAGTCATGTATGTATACAGCCTTACCAGTGATCACAGTCATCCTAGTCATGTATGTACTGTACAGCCTTACCAGTGATCACAGTCATGCTAGGCATGTATGTATACAGCCTTACCAGTGATCACAGTCATCCTAGTCATGTATGTATACAGCCTTACCAGTGAACACAGTCATCCTAGGCATGTATGTATACAGCTTTACCAGTGATCACAGTCATCCTAGGCATGTATGTATACAGCCTTTCCAGTGATCACAGTCATCCTAGGCATGTATGTATACAGCCTTACCAGTGATCACAGTCATCCTAGTCATGTATGCATACAGCCTTACCAGTGATCACAGTCATCCTAGTCATGTATGTATACAGCCATACCAGTGATCACAGTCATCCTAGTCATGTATGTATACAGCCTTACCAGTGATCACAGTCATCCTAGTCATGTATGTATACAGCCTTACCAGTGATCACAGTCATCCTAGTCATGCATGCATACAGCCTTACCAGTGATCACAGTCATCCTAGTCATGCATGCATACAGCCTTACCAGTGATCACAGTCATCCTAGTCATGTATGTATACAGCCTTACCAGTGATCACAGTCATCCTAGTCATGCATGCATACAGCCTTACCAGTGATCACAGTCATCCTAGTCATGTATGTATACAGCCTTACCAGTGATCACAGTCATCCTAGTCATGTATGTATACAGCCTTACCAGTGATCACAGTCATCCTAGTCATGTATGCATACAGCCTTACCAGTGATCACAGTCATCCTAGTCATGCATGCATACAGCCTTACCAGTGATCACAGTCATCCTAGTCATGCATGCATAAAGCCTTACCAGTGATCACAGTCATCCTAGGCATGTATGTATACAGCCTTACCAGTGATCACAGTCATCCTAGTCATGTATGCATACAGCCTTACCAGTGATCACAGTCATCCTAGTCATGTATGTATACAGCCTTACCAGTGATCACAGTCATCCTAGTCATGCATGCATACAGCCTTACCAGTGATCACAGTCATCCTAGTCATGCATGCATACAGCCTTACCAGTGATCACAGTCATCCTAGTCATGTATGTATACAGCCTTACCAGTGATCACAGTCATCCTAGTCATGCATGCATACAGCCTTACCAGTGATCACAGTCATCCTAGGCATGTATGTATACAGCCTTACCAGTGATCACAGTCATCCTAGTCATGCATGCATACAGCCTTACCAGTGATCACAGTCATCCTAGTCATGTATGTATACAGCCTTACCAGTGATCACAGTCATCCTAGTCATGCATGCATACAGCCTTACCAGTGATCACAGTCATCCTAGTCATGTATGCATACAGCCTTACCAGTGATCACAGTCATCCTAGGCATGTATGTATACAGCCTTACCAGTGATCACAGTCATCCTAGTCATGCATGCATACAGCCTTACCAGTGATCACAGTCATCCTAGGCATGTATGTATACAGCCTTACCAGTGATCACAGTCATCCTAGTCATGTATGTATACAGCCTTACCAGTGATCACAGTCATCCTATTCATGTATGTATACAGCCTTACCAGTGATCACAGTCATCCTATTCATGTATGTACTGTACAGCCTACAGCCATAACAAGGAACTGAAGCATGTTAATTACACAGTGTCACTTCTGTTGAAATATAATTACAATATAACACCTCAAACAAATTATATGTAATTTTTTTTTTTTTTACAGGAATAGCCCACCAGGGCACAGGTCAATGACCCACATCAGGGCCTGGGGGCAAAAATGTAATAATAATAATAATAATAATAATAATAATAATAATAATAATAATAATAATAATAATAATAATAAAGAACCATATAGAAAAAAATTCAAAGGTGAGAAACGATATATGTATGTTGTATTGTCAAAGTAAGAGAAACAATTGAGACCTTGCAATTGTGTGTAAATGAGGCAGAAAGTCAGATCAGCAACCTGGGACTTGGTCACATTTTTTGTGATGTCATATGGCAGCAGGGTCTACCATTAGACAATACATTATGCTTCCAATATCTTCCCAGACGGTAGTACCTCCCTGTTTGATAACTGCCTACTACCTCACATAAGAAACATTATTCATGGCTTACCTTAAACTAGGGAGTTGGTGATTGTTTTAAATTTTTTATCTTATTTCTAAACTTTTTCCAATTGAAAGCCACACTCTTTTCACTTTCTCCCCCACACCACTTCCTTTCTGAGACTTCTAAGAGACTTTTGGCATGATAGATAAGCACAGTAGTTAGTTGACCAAGAGCTAGCAGTGAACAACACACACGGAGGCAGGACATAGACTGAGCGGATGTAAACAAACCCCATGCACCATACGGCGTGTTTGATGTGAAATTTAACGGAATCATGCCCGATTTATTGAAATATTTCGCTAAATTGAGCCAAAATAATGGAAAGTTCGATTTAGTGGAAATTTTGATTTAACGGAAAGGGTGGCTCGAATTAGTTCGTTAAATCGAGAAAATACTATACTGACCAATCTCCACTCCACTAATGTGATGCTCTGGACAAGAAGATGTCTGCTAATTTTATATTCTATTGCGTATGTGTATTATTTATAGCAACAGATCATTGTACAACAATTATAATTAACAGAAAGCATGGAAAACTAATAATTACAGTACATTACAGAAAAAAACCTGAGTACCGGACCACCGAGTAATGAGACAACAAAGCTGTACTGCACTTAGTCTACTTGTGGCTATTACTCAGTGCAGGCCTGTTCTCTCATGACATATAAATAACACACATTGTTAAAACAATGTCCAAGCATATATGTTTGGATTAAGGCTGCAAAGAGCAAAAAGTGCTTTACCATGAAGCATAGGATAAACTTGAAGTTCTAGCCATGGTTGACAATAAACGTTCTGTTCCCAAGATAATGTAGAAATCTGAAATTGAATTTACTAAAAGCATATCGTAAATGTAATCCACTTCATCACCATTGAAAGTGAAAGTGGGTCCTATAAACACCTGCATAATCTTCACTACATTTTTTTTTTTTACGGAGAATAGCCCACCCGGGCACAGGTCATAGAAAAGAAATAGGAAAGAAAAAGATCATATTAATCTACACCACGAAGATGCAGGCATACCAGCTTTTTGAAGTGAGACAGATTGTAAGAGGATGGAAACACAGAAGAAGGCAGAGAATTCCACAGTTTGGCTGTGTGAGGAAAGAAGGATGTACTATAACGGGTTATTCTAGTGTGACCGACAGCCACACAGAAACGGTGGGCACCGAGGGCAAGACGAGTGTTATGAGCCCACGGCCTTGCCGGCAGTACACAGGATGCCAAATACACCGAAAATTGCCCGTTAAAGTACAGTGACCCCTCGTTTAACGAACACTTCGTTTAACGTAATTTCGATTAACGAACTGCCTTCCATAAGGATCTTCAATTCGGTTAACGAAAAAAAATTCGGTTAACGAAGTTCTTACGAACCGACCTCAACATGTTTTTGCTTGCACTGACCGGGCAACCAGCTTTAGTATCAGTCCGCCAATACATTAATCGGTTCTAGGGCTTAAATTCCTTACTATTTTAGTAAATATCAAGAAGTTTATACTGTTCAATAATTTTAAAAGTTTAATATTCAGTTTTTTAGTCATTTTAACAATTATTGAACATAATTGAAGGTAAAGTGACTAGTTTAATGCACGGCATCCAGCCTCTTAACACAGCAAACAGGCGTTAGTCTCTCTGTTTTCACTGGAGGTAACATCTTGCTTGAGACTCTCTTCAACTAAATGCTTTTTTTCTGTGTTTCCAAGCAAATTATTGGTCATTTTGAAATATATTTTATATATTGACAATATATAATGCAGTGCAGTGTTGATTTAAAGAAAATAATCTTGAATTACACCAGAGAGCTAAAATTTTATGGGTGAAATGGTGCCATAGGGTGACTTCTCTTCCACCCCAATGCCTTCTCTTCTTCCTTCTCCTCCACCCCCATTCTAAATTCCATCATCATCATCATCATCATCCAGGAGCCTTCTACATACACACCTCAAAGTAAGTGAACTTTTCTACCATTTTTGTTGAATTTAGGAAATTTTCGGTGAGCTGGAACCAATTACCCAAAAAGCCATTGAAACAATGGTTTCGGTTAACGAACTTTTCGGTTAACGAACGACCTTCTGGAACGGATTGAGTTCATTAACGGAGGGGTCACTGTACCTGTAAAAGAGACAGTGAAGCAACATTGATTAAATAACATATTTTTTGCAGCTCTGAAAGCTTCTAGAATCCAGAACCCTACCTATATCTATTCACACTTCAAATAAAAACAACTGAATCCACTGAAAGTATATGATAAGTATGATAATTTTCGTTTAACTAATTTCTTATGAGCTTAAATATGCCAATCTGGGTAAGTGTAATATGCTGGCTGTTTTTCTGAACAGATGTGTCTCCCTGTTGATATGGATGCCCAAATAGTGGAATCCATCTGAGTAATGACATTGACGTGGCTTAATTAGTCTGGTACTCGGGATTTTTATCGTAATCAGCCTATGAGAGTTCTGTCCTCATATCTGAGGGTTGGCGACCACAGTCCTCCACTCTAAACATTCTCAGGCTGTTTTTACCAATCCTTTAAGGTTTTGTATCTCTCTGGGGACCCAGGTCTTAATTTCACTCATCCATCCCAGTCTCTGCCTTCCCTTGGCCCCCCTACCCTCAACTTTGCCCATTAATATTTCTGGTATTATCTGTTCATTCCTAATTATATGACCAAAGTATCTATTTTTTTTCTTTTTCTGTACATTTCAAGTATTTCTCTTTAAGCTTTTGCTAATCTTAGTACTTCTTCATATGTTTTCCTGTCAGTGCTACTTATTCTTAGTAATCGCCTATAACACCACTGTAATAATAAATTATTAATGTGTTCATTTTGTTAAGACTACAAACACTTACCTTTTTACTGTCTTTAGAAGGGGTATTCTTTGCAGAGGTGGAATCATCTTTTTTGCTTGACACTGCCATATCCTTCTTCCCTTCCCCTTCCTTGTTTGCAAGATTTGAGGGCACAATGACTTGTTTGGTTGCACTAACCAATACTGATTTTGTTGGGGTAGGCACAGACACAGTAGTCACAGGCTTGTTGACATCTTTATTCAAGGTTTCTGAAGACTTGACAAGAATTCTTCCATCAGCAGATTTAACTACTGTCACTTTCTGACCAAGTGATCCACCAACTGGGACTGCTGTACACTTTGGTGAAATCTGGATAATCTTCTTTTGGCTGCAAAATAAAACAAGAAGCTCAATTACAGGAGGAGGAAGATTCACAAGATAGGGGCTAAGAATGCTCATGAAATAAAAAATTAGTTTTGCAAAAAGGCAAGTACTTCAATAATATGGGGTTAGAGACCAGAGGCCCCCAAAATTCACCAAACTCTTATAAGGTTTATTTATTAACTAAACACAAGCAAGAAATGAAAATATAATGTTCTAATATACCATAAAAAAGGGGGTCCCCCCCCCCCCACATTACATCACAGCCATGCTGCCTCTAAGTGACCCAGCTATTTACTCAGTATTTTCCAAATGAGGCTTTGAGCCAATTTGAAGCAAGGAAGCAAGGCAGCTAACTGGAGGGCAGATGGATATGTGAAAAGTCACTCTGAGGTTCTTTAGTATTTAATCTATCTCATTTACAGGTATCCCTCATTATATGAATGAGTTAGGTTAAAAAAAAAATATAGCGTATATTTAAATGAATTTTCTTATCTTGAATAACAGAACAAATGGGGAAAATAGGATTTGGTTTCCCAATGACAAAAAAATACCCCAATATCAAACCCCAAAAGCACGAAATCAATTCACAAACAAGAAAAACCTACCTAACTACAGTTGTCTCATTTTGCATGGGTATATCGTACTAGTACGCATCCGCACATCAGAAATCCGCACGTGATACCTTTTAACACGTTAAAACTGCTATATTGTACTAGACTCGTTAGACCTTTATTCTAGAATGGCTATGGGTAACCAACTTAACCTTCCCAATATGACACATAATGTAACATAAACTGCATCTACATTATTAAACCCTATGTGGTTTGGGGAGTAGTTTAACATCCGCTAAGGTAATGGACACCCAGGTTTAGGGCGTGTCTCAACGTCCTTGAAAATCTTAAAATTCTCGCTAATATCTATAGGCCCTAGAGCTATAAATAAACATCTTGAGTTGTCTGGAATCATCCTTGCAAGCAATCACGTGACTAGACCTCGTGCTTCTTGGAAACACGCCAGTACCCTCACCTGTCCCACTCTGTACGGATGTCGTCACGTCGTACTATCAATGACGCCAAAATAAACTCTATTCTCTTTGATGAGGATGCTCCTTGTGCTGAGAAGCCATTAGGAATGGACAGTGAGCTTGAGTGATTTTGATGATGTCAATGACCCTGATTATCCACACGATGACAAGGATAGTGAGAGTGAGAGTGATGTTGATGACCCTGACACCATACGCCTGACTCCATCACCCACAATGTTGATCCCAAGACCAGGATGAGGCTCTACAAGCCACACTCTGTCCCAGACTACACCTCCAACATGCATCTGGTTGACAAGTCTGTCAGCATGATCTCCAGTATAGATTATGCCCTTAAGACCATGAAATGGTACAAAAAACAATTCTTCCTTCATTTGGATATGTCCCTTCTGAACGCACACATTCATTATCTAGTGAAGACAGGTAAAAAAAACCTACACTCCACAAACTTTCACTGAATGTGGCGAGGCAGCTTTTGGAAACCAATGCAGTACCTCATCAGAGACCTGGAGGTCGTCATGCAGCTGGTGGTGACACTTCCCTTCAGTGATTCCTTCTACTGGAGCAAAGCAGTATTCCCAGAAAACATGTCATGTGTGCCGTATGGGCGAAATCCGCGCCAAAGAAAACAAAGAGACTCGCTATCAGTGTACTCAGTGTAACGTTGCTCTGTGCCTGATTCCAAGCTTCTAACAATACCACAACCTTCAAAAATACAAAAGCACAGAAAAGACATTTGTAAATCGAGTAAATATACATGATTTCCCATTATCTTAAGGTATCAGCACGTGGTGTGGTGGCGGCAGTGAAAGCGTATTGGTGGTAAAACTGTACCGTATAAATTTGTGCCTTACCCGATAGCATGTCATGTGTCAACTCCTAAAGAGTGCCACATTGAATAATATCTACATATTTGAGTACAATAAATAGTCAAATTAATGTAGAATTATGTAAATGTAAGTTGTTTTATGGAAGTGAAGTCTGATAATCACTGCAGCATGTTTCCTGTGGAACAGAGGCCTCTCTCTAAGTTGCATTCCAATTATAATTGTCACATGTAAGTAAAAAAAAAGAAAAAAGTTTGAATTTCATTTTCCTATTCACCTACCTAGCCCGTATTATATAATCACAACTAATATAAGAAAGGTGGAAATAAAATAAAGTGGTATAAAATAAATTCCGAGTGATGTGTCTCCTAGGTCATGCTGAGATCATGGCAGTGTTGGATTTAAAAAGCCGGGGCTTTGTTCTCATGGAAACAGATACGGTACACAACAATTCCTATGATTCCGCCATCATGAGACTTGAATTGCCACTTTCTAACCATTTCACATGATTTTAGACATCATTATTTACCTTTTCCAGCAAAAAACAGAAATTAACTTTTTGGTAACAAGAGGAAGGTATCTAGGTTTATTATATGAAAACCATGAAGGGGTTAAATAAATATTTTAAGAAAGCCCAGGAAGTTAATTATGCGATACTCCACCAAATAGTGGAGGTGTGGGAAGCTCTAGGAGACGATGGTGGTCCTAGGAAGGGGGTAAAGACTGCTCAGATTCAAAGCCTTCAAAATCAACTGTAAACAATGGTAAAGTGACTTCAGGATCGTCACTTATCTCCTGAGTGGCGGGGTCTTCGTCACTGGATTCTCCTTGATCTTCACATTGTTGAGGCATAAAATAGGCAGCAATGAGAGCTTGGCGGGAGTATTTAATAAACTCCTGGTATTGCTGCCACTGAGTTTGTAACTGCATTGCAGGTTGGGCTCAACTCATTAAAGCATCCTTGAGTTCTCCAACCCTGCTGAGAACTTGTATCACCAACCGCTGAGTCATGCCTCCCTCAGTCTGCTCTGGTTTCCCAACACCACCAACACTTCCTTCCACCACCTTAACTCATTCCCCTGTCTTCCATCTCCTACAGAATGTCGTCTAGTGCAGTATTCCCTAAAAACTCGCTGGGGTTAGGTAAAATGGACCCTGTGTGAGGGCAAAATCTGCGATTTTTTAATGACAGTCCCAGGATTGTGCAAAATACATACATAAATAACTACAGTATATACACATGTATAACAACATTATGTATGCATAAGACAATGTAATAAACATGAAATAACATAAAAAAAATCAACATAAACATGAAATAACACTGTGTGGACATTATGTCCATACAGTGATAGCTAGTTGTGGTAGTGACAATGCAAAGACAGTACCTCTGAAATGTTAGCTGACCTGATGCACAGGATTTAAACAATCCCTGTACTGGACAGTTCCTAAGGAACATGCCCGGTACCGATAAGTATTTGTAAGGTGTATACCGTAGGCACCTACAGTGGTCCCTCTGTTAACGAACGGTTCGATTAACGAAATTTCGGTTCACGAATTAGCTCCCATAAGGATCTTCAATTCAGTTAACGAACAAAACATCGAATAATGAAATCCTTACGACAAACATGTTTTGTTTTGAGCATCAGCTGATTGGCTAGTCCGCCAATACAGTAATCTGTTCTATGTTTACATTAGTTTCCAGTGGAGGAAAATATCAAGAAGGTTGTATTCTTGAATATTTTTACATTTTCTATATTAAAATTTTTGGTCATTTAGCCATCCAAGCTCTGTCTATATAAAGTTTTTCAACAAATATATTTGGCTCGATTATGTAACTTTATTCATTTATTGAAACTCATTTACATGCACACACTGTCCTAAGGGCAAAGCTGCACTGTACATGTAATCAAAATAATGTACAAAATGATTTTCTAAAATATTTGTCTAGTGCAAACTATCACATATTTACATTCAAATTAATCAATATCTTATAAGAATTCCAGCAATGTAAATTATATTCTCCCAGGTCACTTCTATTACATTTTATAAGCAAAAAAACCAAACTCAATCTAAAGGACATAAATAAACAAATAAATACTTCACTAGACCTTCGGCACTGTCAAACATGTCACTGTCACCTCCCCTTCCTCCAGCACTCACCCCCCCCCCCCTCCCAGCCAGGGTTTGGTGGTTATACAGTAGGCTTTAAGTTTTTATCTTATATAATATCACAGACTAAAGTTAGGAGAATATAATTTGCATGGCTGGAATCCTTGCAAGACAGTGAATAATTTGAATATAAACGTCATATATTTTGCAAAAGAGATAAAAATTAATCACATGTATCACATTACAGTAGTGATTTAAGAGTTCTAGTGTATATATATATATATATATATATATATATATATATATATATATATATATATATATATATATATATACGTGTATTACCCCATTTTACGCGGTTTTTTCACTTAACGCGATTTCTCATATACGCGGTGCCTCGCCAGAACCGAACTTTCACTTAACGCGGTTCATCTACTCATATACGCAGTGAAGTATAATATATATTTTTTTTATTTAGCTCATAAAATTCATACAAATTACCCGGCCAGAATATAATTTACATTGCTGGAATTCTTACAATTTGATGATCATTTTGAATATAAACATCATAGATTTTGCATTAGACATACATATTTTAGATATAATGTTTACTCTGAGTAAATATGTTATCTTTTGTGCAAAATATATGACATTTATATTCAAAATATTCCTGGTCTTACAAGGAATCCAGCAATGTCAATTATATTATCCTAACTTTAGTTTGAGGTATTATTTATTACTATACCTTAAAATCTAGTGGTTTTCCCCCAAAAATTTCTCAGAGACGGAAGACCCAGCGAGTGTAGTATGAGAAGAGGGGGAGGGAGCGGAGTCCATTATTTGAATGGACATTAACTTGGCGACTGTATTTCTCTTAAGTATTAATTGTGTGTGCATACCATCATAAAGTTAAGATAATATTTTTACTACAACATAGTTGTGTCGTCAAAAAGTGGAGTTTGGGGGTCGGCCCGGTCTCTATTTCAATTAATCCCATATGTTTTGTTGTTCACTTTAGCGTTTCTTACTTCCGCGTACCCTGTGGGTCATATTAACCGCGTAAAGTGAGTGTTGACTGACTGTATGTATGTATGTATGTATGTATGTATGTATGTATGTATGTATGTATATATATACACCTAGACCCCGACTTACGACGGGGTTAGGGACCCAAATCCAGGTCGTAAGTCCGACAGTACAGTGAAAGTAATAAATAATAAGGAATGGATACAGTGTGACTGAACACTTAACCTTTAATGTAGTCAGTTGAATGCACATGGGTCCCCCATAATTTTCTAATTATACATGGAGACTACATTAACTGGAAACGTTTCGGTATAGAAAATGCGTGTGTCATTTTGAAAAAAAAAAAAAAAAATTATCTATATCTGAGGCGGTCGTAAGTCCCGACGGTCGTAAGTCCACGTAGTCGTAAGTCGGGGTCTAGGTGTATATGTATATATATGTATATGTATATGTATATGTATATATATATATATACAGTATTACCCCGCTTAACGCGCTTTCACTTAACGCGTTTTCGCATATACGCGGTGCCTTGCCAAAGCTGAACTTTCACTTAACGCGGCATTTTTCATCATATACGCGGTGAGTGTCCGGCTCGAGAGCTATTTTTAGATTCGCACCACCCCCCACCCGCCACCCTGCCTGACTGCCTGTTTTAGCTCATAAAATTCATACAAATTACCCAGCCAGAATATAATTTACATTGCTGGAATTCTTATAATTTGGTGATCATTTTGAATATAAACAACATATATTTTGCATTAAACATACAATTTTTAGATAAAAATTGTTCTCTAGGTAATTATGTTATCTTTTGTCCAAAATATATGACATTTATATTCAAAATATTCCTGGTCTTACAAGGAATCCAGAAATGTCAATTATATTATCCTAACTTTAATCTGAGGTATTATTTAATACTAAATGTTAAAAACTCTTGAATGGAGGATTGGTGGGGGGTGGGGGGAGGGTTGGGACTGACCACGCGGTTGGAAGAGGGGGGGAAGGGAAGGTGGGGTACTTTGATTGACAGATAGTGTGGAAGAATATTTTTTTTTTTTTTATTAACTGAAGATATTTGTTTTAGCTCATAAAATTCATACAAATTATCCGGCCAGAATATAATTTCCATTGCTGGAATTCTTACAATTTGCTGATCATTTTGAATATAAACATCATAGATTTTGCATTAGACATACAAATTTTAGATGTAAAGTTTATTCTGAGTAAATATGTTATCTTTTGTGAAAAATATATGACATTTATATTCAAAATATTCCTGGTCTTACAAGGAATCCAGCAATGTCAATTATATTATCCTAACTTTAGTTTGAGGAATTAGGTTACTCACCATCCAGCAACTTAACGATACTTCAGTCCAATTGACCGCCGCTAAGTGGGATAACTGTATATATATATATATATATATATATATATATATATATATATATATATATATATATATATATATATATATATATATATATATATATATATAGTTGTACCCCACTTAACGCGGTCAATTGAACCCAGAGGGTCCCGCGTTAAGTGAACA